TTGATGGTCAATTTAGCAGGTAGTTTATTTCCTAATCGAATAAATACATTGTTAGTATATACTTAGTTAATAAATAGCTAGACATTTTTAGAGAAAGGAGAAGCCCCTCCCTGGGATCTGATTGTGTTTAATCTTTCTAGAGTGGAAGTGTCTGCCTGGATCCCAAAAGGAGTTGGTGGCAGCATATATGGTTTCTATGGCTTAACTCCTCTTATTGTTGAATGTTTAACATCATGTCTGTCTCTAAGAACTAGTCTAAAGAAGCTGCATTGGAGCTAGAGGATAAAATAAAGCCCTCTGTGACAAGTTCTTCACTAAGAGAAAACCGTTTTCTGTGTTTCTTTTATTGTTTATTTTAAATTAGCTCCCATTGGTACCTAAATAGTAAAATATGCTAAGCTCCTTATCCTAGAGATAACATTAAATTGCCATTTAAAGTAGATAGGTATTATACAGTTTGAAGTTATTAAACTAACCAAAAATGTAATCTAATGTTCTGTATTTTTTTTATTTTTTTAATGGAAAAATGAATCATATGAACTCTTAACTTCCCTATCATTACCACCTCCCAATTTTCCTTGCTCTACCTCTAACCTCCTTGCTTGCTACCTCAGAAGAGGTACTATTTCCCCAGTCTGAGGTTGAGATCTCATCTTGTTTCTTCTATAAGTCATTTCCTTCTTCTAATGATTCTTTTCTGTTTTTAGTTTTTTTAATATGGCATTTGGTACATACTATTTAAAAAAATGTATATGTATACAAGAAGCTTAATAATAAAACAAACACTTGAGTACCTACCACATAACCTAAGAACTCAAATATCTGGAACTTAAAATAAATTTGAGTGCCCCTCTCGGATCCCATTCACCCATCCCTATCCCTGAACACTTAAATTATTTGTGTTTATTCATCTTCTGTTTATGTTTTCTTTCTGTATGTGTGTATTAAAAACTTAAATGTGAAATAGAGAATGTTTATCTTTTATATTTATACTAGAAGCCCGGTGCACAAAAATTTGTGCACTGGCAGGAGGCGGGGGGTTCTCTCAGCCCAACCTGTGCCCTCTCACAGTCTGGGACCCCTTGGGAGATAACCACCTGCTGGCTTAGGCCCGCTCCCCTGGTGGCAGATGGCATGCCTGATCCCGCAGTGCCTGCCCTGTCTCCCCTGGTCCCACACAGCAGGCCGGGATCCCATGCTGGGGTGGGCGGCAGCTGGGGCTCTCGCTGCCGCCCGTCCCCCTCCCCCACCCCGGACCACACACGGCAAGCCCAGATCCCACGCTGGGGCAGGGCAGAGCAGCAGGATCTGCCTGCAGTATGCAAATTTAACGGCCATCTTTGTTGGGTAATTTGCATACTATTCTGATTGGCTGATGAGCATAGCGAAGGTACGGTCAATTAGCATCTTTATCTTATTAGTGTAGATTTAGGGATATTTATTCTAAAATAATATATTTGGTTTTATTTGTTTTTTGAGTTTTATAAACATGGTATCATGATTTTAGTCTTCACTGACTTGCTTTTTCTCACTCTTCATTACCTAAGAGTCATGCATATTCTTGCAGTAGATGCAGTTGCTGCATGCTCACTGCTGAATGTTATTCCATTGTATGAATAAAAACAATATACTTATTCTGTTGATTGGTATTTGGGTTGTTTCCATTCTTTCACCATTATAAATGATGCTCTATAAACATATACAGGTATATGTCTCCTGATAAACATGTATAAGGTTTTTGTTTGTTTGTTTGTTTGCAGAATATCTAGGCATAGGTTATAGAAATGTTTACAATTTCAAGATAATGCCCAGTTGTTTTCCAAAGAGGCATTTTAATTTGAATATCCACTTGTGTGTAAGAGTTTCTGCTGCTCTACGCCTTGCTACCACTTGATATTGGCTAACGAAAATATTTAAATCATTATGGTCTTTTCTCAAGTTATCCTTGGATATCTGTTAGTTTAGTCTCAAAATAAGTTGAGGGTGTTTCTTTTTATTATCTGAAAGCATTTAAGAAATGGTCTTTGATTTTTAAAAAAAATTTAAATGAAGCTTCTTAGACTGTGAAGCTAAGCAAGTAGCTTATAGGTCATCAGGACAAATGTACTGATTTTACAAGAGGAGACCACTGAGGCTTTCAGGCTTCACACAACTTGCTAGAAATCTCAGGGCTAGTAAGGAGCAGGGCCAGAATTGAAGCTGGTTTGAGGCCTGCTGTACTTTGTAGCATCACACACAAACTTTCACAACATAGTTAATAAAATACGTTTTAGCTACTGAAAATTGATTTGATTTTTAAAACTCACTTGTAAACTGGCTGAGCCTGGTATTTTCTTTTTGGGAAGATTGTTTTAAAAGAAAAATGTGTAGTTATTTATTTTAGTTTTTAAATAAATAATGAACTCCCTGTATCCCTACATCTAGTTCCAACAACGATCAATGCATGTTCCCTCCTGCCTCATCCTTACGCTCAGCCACTTTGCTCAGGGAAAACTGAGGATATTATAGTGAAAGAAATTGAAGATATTTCAATTTATCTGTAAATAAATTTTTCATTGTGTGTCTCTAAAACATAAAGACTATAAAAACTATAACCCAATACCCATTATCATGCCTTAAAAAAATCCTTTAATATCTAAGAGCCAATTGGTTTCAAATTTGTCATTATTTGATAAATGTTATAAAAAGATTTGGTTCTATATAGAATATTATTTATAAATACTATATTTTGAAATTTATTCATTAATTTATATGTAAATTAAGGCACACATTGATTTATTTAATTGTATCAGGAATTAATGTCCATACGTTGTGATTGGTTGAGATGCCTTTCCAAGTGGATAAGGTTTTTTAATTTTGTTAATAATTTCTGATTTGATTGATTATTGACTCGTACCTTAATTTCATTGCAGTTTTTCTTTGAAATGTACCTAGGCTTTCTTTATGGTATCATATATAGTCATTTAAAAATATTTTATGATTGCTTTAAAAGAATATGTAATTCTCTTATTATTTGTTGTGGGATTCTGTCTTTCTCTTTCTCTTTTCTTATCCATTTTTTTTTTTCCTCGAAGAGACCCGGTAGTTTGTCCTGTGGAGTTTTTCATTGCCAGGAGTATCTCTGTGGTGTGGTTAACATATTCTTCTGCCTTCTCAAATCTCTGTATTTCCATAAATTGATAGTTGGATTTAGACAGTTGATTAGATTCAGAATTCATTTCCTTTTTCCAAGGCTGTTCATTGATCATGAGTCTCATAATAGTTGTTTTCTTTTTTGTGATGTTAGCAGCCATTGATGTTCAGTGCCTAAATCCTTTAATTTATTAAAGATTTAAAATGATGATGTTCTAGTTCTATTTTTCTTTCTTCATTTACTAGCTAGAATACTTCTATAATGAGAAACTTACTCTCATTATTTACCCAATGGTATTGTTGGTATATAAGAGGTTAGATAATTTTTTTCCTTTTATATCCTGATTTTATAAGTATGAGCTCATTGAATTAAACATACTGATATTTTAAAACACCACATTTATAATTCTTATTGATATGCAAATTATTACATCTTTGGCCAGTGGAAACCTTTTCAGGACCTTTTGGTACAACCCTAGTAGTTTTGATAACCTCGATATCTGGATGAGACATCCCAAGCTCATCATGTGTATTTCCAGATCTGTCATTTTTCCAAGGAGCCTTGATTCCTTAAAATGGAAAATGATATTTGGAGGCAACATTTGGATGCTAGGAGTGTGTATGTTTACAGAATTGGTCATCATTTCTAAACCTGTCAGTAGACAGAATTAGAAAATTTGTGTATGTAAGTGTATGTTTTATTTAAGATCAAATATGTCATGAGTTTAAACTGATGCTTCCAATTCAAATTGAAGACCATAAGGTCTTTCCCTTTCACATCTTCCTTCCCAAGAATTCCATTTTGTCAAGGACATCAGGGATCTGTGGTCCCTGTCCTTCTTTTTTAGACTAGTTGGTGTCTCTGTGTCCTCTGCCCTCTGAGGAGTTACAGAAAAGTTATAATTTTATAGATTATCTGGCCTTTGTTCTTTAGGATGAGAATAGTGTTCCTTCCAGCTTGACACGTTGTTTTTATTTTCTTCTTATCAAGTCTTTTTTGTGTGTGTAAATTAAGATTTATGTCTTAATGTCTTATTTTTGCTTCAGTACTAACATTTGAATACCTTTCTCCCACGTATTTTTTTTATATCCATGTATATCTTCATTGAACGTTTATTTAGCTCTACAATGGTCTCTTAGATGATTCTATAACTTGTATTTGAAATCTTTTAAAGTTTAGCATTAAAAAATTATCATTTTAACACAATTTTTAAGTTCATGAATTCTCTGATCACTCTACATTTTAGTTCCTATTTTCAAACTAAATATTAGTATATCCCAGGTTTTACTCTACCATTACAGGGACATGTTTTGTTAATATATAATCAAAGGAATGTTAGAGAAATTTTATATAATTTTTTATACTCATCAAGTTTGATTTTTATTAGCTTTTCACAAATTATAATAAAATGATAGACTTGTTAATTCTTTATTACAGAGTATAATCTAAGAGTACAATTGCGTGTAATTTTTTGATTGCCAGATTTATTATTCATTTGTTTATCATTTTAGTGTACTTAGCTAATTTTAAGGCCATATGAAAAACCTTTGCTGAAAATATTATTGTATTAAAGGAGCTGATTTTTATTACCCAAATATTATTAATATTGATAAAATTTGAAAATATTTAAACCAAGCTGTTCTAGTGTCCCTTGTTTTCTTAAAATGTGATACTATCAACAGTTAATTATCACATATTTCTTAGTAATGTCCACAATTTATTGAATTGATTTTAAATGTTGTATTCAATAATTGATATATCATGTTGGAAACAGTATTGCATAGTTTACCCTAATTTTACCTCCTCATTACTTTCATGGCCATAAAAAGTGGCTTACTAAATGTTTCCTTTCTTTTTACCTTTATAGGTTATTTTAGTGTCTGCCAATAAATTGACTCGTTATATAGAACCATGTCAGTTAACAGAAGATTTTGGTGGAAGTCTCTCTTATGATCACATGGACTGGTTAAATAAGAGGCTGGTTGGTATATTACAATGAGATAAAATGTTATTACATGTAAATAAGATATATTTTGATAACTTCATTGTTTTAATCAACTAAAGTATAATTAACTAAAATGTAGATTGTTTTCCTGTTTATAAAAGTGAAGAAATATAATGTATATCACATGTTAGAATAATATTTGAAGGCAAATACTTTGAAATCAGATTCACAAATGTTAGCTATTACTGTTGACATTAGTCGCAGTATTACTAGTTAAAGTTGTAAATCTTCCAGGTAGAACAGAGTAGCATAATTTCTTGGGAGGTAATCCAGTTATATACTATTCTCAGAGAAAATATTTAAACATCAATTTGAATTGGAGAGCAGTTTGGCAGGTTGTGGTTTATGATTCTGAAAATGTATCTTTTTTGTCACACTTGTGAAATCTGGTACTCTGTATAATACAGCATTATTTAACCAAACTGCTGGGGACTAAAATAAATATATTAACTCAGTTTAGATTATATGCTAATTTTATTGAAGAACAATGAACTTTTGGATATTTAGAATGGGAAACGAATTCTATTTCCCTCATATTTAAACAATGTTTTCAGACAAATGAATGTCCACTTTATTTTAACCAGATTTGCCCAAATCCCTTTTTAGAAATACTTTAAGAACTCGTGTTAAAATTGTACCTAATTTATTTTTATGGTGTATGCTTGCGTGTAAAATTCTTTAACCATTAACATGCAACCAGTATGGATTGATAAATAGAATAACGTAAAGAAATGTTCCATAACTGGAAGTAGAGAATTAAAATTTTTCTAAATAATGTTCATGCAGTTAAAACTATTATGGATGCAGATGTTTCCCAAGGAAACGTAGGAATAAAAATAAACATGCTGATTGAGGAATAAAAATAATTTCTTAATGTATTTAAATTTTAAGAATTTCTTATCCATTGAAACTATTCATTATTTTAAGGAATGGTTAAGTCTTCTCTCCTGTACACTGTTGTGCTCTGATGGTTGAATTGTACTAAGTGACATCCAGAGGGGGAAGGGGAAACCTTACTGGCTAATTCTATTGCTCTTAACTGAAAATCCTTTAGTACATTTTAACTTTTAAGATTATTCTTAATATATTAATAAAATTTTGTATTGTAGGTTTTTGAGAAGTTTACAAAGGAATCTACATCATTATTAGATGAACTTGCTTTGATTAACAATGGAAGTGATAAAGGAAATCAAGAGAAAGAAAGGTAGGTGGCCAGAGTCATGCAATTACACCCTTGCAAAGCTATGATTAACCTGATAAAAGAAACCTCTATTGTTAATGCAAGCTAAAAGAACTAAGGTAAGCAAATCTTCATTCAATAAAAATTGCATACAAAAGTTGAATTAAATTTATTTTTTTAATTTTTGAGAATTTGCTTTACATGTAAAGTTTACCGATTTGAATAAAAGTTTCTTTACAAAAGACTTTATTTGATGACTAGTAATAGCTTTACTTTTCTTCTGACACTGTAAAATATTCATTGGCAAGGAATATTTGAAATGAAACAATTTTTTACCTTTTTAGAATTCTACTTTGCTTATAAAGAATATGGAAAAGGTGGCAGCTTGAAATAAATGTAATGTGACCTTATTTAAATACATTAGCACTTACATGCCCGGCTTATAGAACTGTAACCTTATAAAGTATGTGATATTCATGAGTTCAACTTGGAGAATTTAGTGTTTTATGACACTAGATAAAGTAATTGTTCAGTTGTATTATCTAAATGTAACTACTTAGATAAATCATTTTAATGGGTTTCCATTGAACTTTGTAACCTTCACAGTTTTCATTTTTCTGTTGGTAGACCAAGTCACTCTCCCAAGATAAAAAGCATTTCAGGATGCAAATTAACTCTTTCTGGTCTCAATAACAAAGTGGGCACTAGAACAGTAATTTTTCATTAGGAAATTTGAAAGAATCAGTACTCTTGTCTGTCTCTTGAATCTGGCCTTACAAATACAATAGAACCTATAAAAAAAATCATCTTGATATTCTGTGAATCCAAATATAGTCATATAACAATTAGCTGAGATGATAAGAGGGATATGAGAGGGTTATTGTATAACACCAATTCTTGATTAAAACAAAGTAAAAATGTGAAAACAAATGGTTTGAATGTAAATGTCATTGAAGTTAAACATTTAGGAACATTACTATCCTATTGGTGCATTATAGAAATGTAAAATGTAAAAATATGTAAGTGTGTGTGTGTGTGTGCATGCTATGGCTCAGGAATTGAAAATCTAACACAAGTAACTTAATAAAAGTAGTCAAACTTCTATTTTTCAATAGTCTAGCAGAGTAAGTTTGATGTTTCTTAAAGTCCTGTGTCTTAGGAAAGGCAAGCTAAAAGGGTGCCTTATAGAAAATGAGTTTATGGTCAGAGGGTTTAATGCTGAGAAAGCATTGCAGTAAAAACAAAAACAAAGTGTTTGTCCCTAGAACTTGTGTTTATGGTCCAGTGTCACCTCTTTTTTTCCATCTAATAATACCTTATTCAGTGTTTTGGAAATTTGGTTCGCATATATGAAGTATTACATAAAACTAGAGGCCCAGTGCATGATATTCATGCACTGGGGCAGGGGGCATCCTTCAGCCTGGCCTTTTCGCTTTCACAGTCCGTGAACTCTCGGGGGATGTCCACCTGCTAGCTTAGGCAGACATCCCCCGAGGGGTCCTTAGCACTGTAGTGGAGGCAGGAGAGGCTCCCTCCACTGCCACTGTGCTCGCCAGCTGTGAACCCAGCTTTTGGCTGAGCAGTGCTTCCCCTGTGGTAGTGCACTAAGCACCAGGGGACAGCTCCTGTGTTGAGCATCTGCCCCCTGGTGGTCAGTGCACATCATAGCGACCGGTCATTTGGTCGATTTGCATATTAAGGTTTTATTATAGAGGATGTTATGTTTTTCATTCTCTCCTAAAGGAACTCAAAGTGTATTGCTTAGTCTCTAAAATCCCAGATAGTAAATTCCTCCCCTCGCAAATTTTTATCCCCTTTATGTCAGCCCTCAGGAAGTATTGAGGCTAAATAAGGGCCGAATGCCTAGATCAGCTGTGGGCAAACTACGGCCCGCGGGCCAGATCCGGCCTGTTTGAAATGAATAAAACTAAAAAAAAAAAAAAGACCGTACCCTTTTATGTAATGATGTTTACTTTGAATTTTTATTAGTTCACACAAACACTCCATCCATGCTTTTGTTCCAGCCCTCCGGTCCAGTTTAAGAACCCATTGTGGCCCTCGAGTCAAAAAGTTTGCCCACCCCTGGCCTAGATCAATTGACAAAAGTGAGAGATTTAGAGCAAGACTTCCCGGTTACAGCAGCAGGGTCCTAGGCTTTGATTTGCCATGTACATGATCTTTCACTTATCTTCTACTTCCCAAATGTGTTTAGTAAAGTTCATAGTCCAACTCACATGAAGCATAATTAGTACAGGGATAGAGTACAATGGCAAGGGACACACACACACACACACACACACACACACAAATATGAGAATATTTTCAGTTCTTAAAGGTTGCTGTGGGTAAGTAAATTTTTGATTGTTGGCAGTTGATTACATGTGTTTCTTAATGTTAACATTTCTGGGTTATTACATAGTTAGCAATTTCATTTTGAAACAGTTATCCAGTGAAAACTACTAAAATGGATTCTTTGATATATTTGAAATAATATCATAATCCTATATAATAAAAGGCTACTATGCAAGTTAACTGAATGGCAGAATGACCGGTCACTATGATATGCACTAACCATCAGGGGGCAGACGCTCAATGCAGGAGCTGCACCCTGGTGCAGTGCGCTCCCACAGGGGGAACGCTGCTCAGCTGGAAGCTGGGCTCATGACTGGTGAGTGCAGCAGCAGTGGCGGGAGCCTCTCCTGCCTAAGCTGCAGTGCTAAGGATGTCTGACTGACGGCTTAGGCCTGCTCCCCCAAGCCAGTAGTTGGACATCCCCCAAGGGCTCCTGGACTGCGAGAGGGCACAAATTTTGTGCACTGGGCCTCTAGTTAATAATAATAAACTGTTTTTCTCAGTAGTATATTTTGTGATTTATCACATAGATATTTTTGTGGGTATGAGTATTTAGTTAACTCTAATAGTGTTGCTAATGCTTTAGAGAAATTATGGTAGAACAATATTCCTCAGGTTTTCATACTTTGGTTGTACTTGTTTTAATATGTATACATAAAAGATTTTTCTTAAATTATATGGGTAGAAATACAGCTTTTAAAAATTACTCTCTTGGTGCTTGCCAGGTCTGTGGATTTAAACTTCCTTCCATCAGTTGATCCTGAAACAGTTCTTCAGACAGGTAAGATGAAAAAACATATTGATCAATAGTCACCATAATCCAATAAACTAATCCTAAATTGATTGAGTCATGAAATAGACATCAGTTGAGCATGTACAGCTGGTCCTTGAATAACATAATTTTGTTCAAAGTCATTTTGTTATAATGTTATGAGGTGCTGTAGGAACTTAATCTTACTTATGTCAATTAGCCTATGGTAAAATTGGTTCTGTTATATAGTGTTTTGCTTAAAGTTGGAGAACTATTAACGATTTACTCTGTATTTACTATTGACAATAATACTCTGTATTATGTGGTAGAAACTTACAGGGAAATTTTTTGAACTGATTTTTATTTAACTGAGCTGTTAATATATTCTACAATATTGAAAATATTAATAATGATAAATCGTTAACTTATCGCTCCCTTGAAATACTTGGGTTTATTTTCTTATCTATAAAGTGGAGATAAAAATTTCTATTATATAAAGTTGCTATGAGGATTATTGAAAACTTATTCTAACATTGTAATATTTGTGGCTTCTTTTTGTATTTTCTTATTTCATTCTTCTAAGAACCCCTTGAGATAATTAGGATTATTTTCTCTATTTTGTACTTAAGGAAGCCAAGGCTTAGAGGTATTAAAAAACTTGCTCAAGATCAAGTAACTGTTAAGCTTTATTACCATAGCAGTAAAAATAGGACTAACTCCAAAGCCACTGGCTATACTGCTTTACAGTCATCTACATAAAAGCACTTAGCACCTGCAATTGTCTTGAACATAGTATGTGTTCATTGCTGCATGGTATGTACTATATATATATAAATTCATAAAAGCTGTTATGATCAGAATACATTTATCTTTTTACTTTGACAATTCTCTTAATGTTTTCCTTGTGGATACCATTTCTGTTAGAGAAGCAGCACCACATAATGATTTCAAAGGCAATACTTTGAAACCAAACTGCTAAAGTCCCAACTCCAATATTACTAGTTGTATAACCTACATAATAAGTTACATACTTAACTTTTTCATGCCTCAGTTTCCCATCTTAAAATTGGGATGATAACAGTACCTACACTTCACTGGGTTGTGGTAAAGGATAAATGAGTTAACATGTAAAGTGAGTGCTATGAGAACAGTGCCTGGTACACAGCAGAATTAGAATTATGAGCTATTATTAGAAAATACATTAGAAATAAAATTAAGGTATTATTATTTAAAAGAACTTCAATGTGTTCTAGAATCTGTGAAACAACTACTAGACATATTTGGGCTGGAATACAGTATTGCTCTAGATTTGAAACAATTCTTTGTTTATGTGCCATTAAGACCTTTATTATATGCTATTTACTCTTTTTTAAAAAATATATTTTATTGATTTTTTACAGAGAGGAAGGGAGAGGGATAGAGAGTTAGAAACATCGATGAGAGAGAAACATCGATCAGCTGCCTTCTGCACACTCACTACTGGGATGTGCCCGCAACCAAGGTACATGCCCTTGACCGGAATCGAACCTGGGACCTTTGAGTCCTCAGGCCGACGCTCTATCCACTGAGCCAAACCGGTTAGGGCGCTATATGCTCTTAAAACAGGGAGAGTATAAAATAGAGAAGTTTAGAACAATCTTGGATATTTTTTAAAAATTGGGAATACCTCCAAATCAAATTAGAAGTTTTGTTTCTATATATTAAAAGCCATTTAAATTTAGGACATGTTCCTGAATAATGGTAAAAACAAAAGAATTTAAATATCTGCATTTTTTGACCACTAAATAATAATTGGAATAGTAGTATCCCAGAAAAACAATTTGTTAATTTATTTACTTTTAAAATTGTTAGGATACTTACAGCTTTAGACGTTGCACATTCTGCATTTCTGATTTCTCAGGAATGAGCAGATTTTTTTTTATTAGATTACAGTATTTGAATAACATTGGATATTCTTTGGCCTCTCATGATTCCCACTAATATATATATTGTGGGGAGTCCTATAAATAAAGGTTGTTTGTATATTATTTTGTACCAATAATAAAGACTTGCTACCTTTACTGCAATCGTACATTTGTTACACCATCAACTTTTCTTTTAGGAGCTATAATTAAGGGTATGAATTAATACTGAAATCATACAATATATTGCTTAGTATTGATTAGTACCATCAGACAGAAATTCTAGAGTGTAATTGTACTCACAGGAAAAGAGGATTGGTTGGCACAGTATTTTGAGCAATGAGTCCACCAATAAGAAGAATATGATAGATATAGATAAAATATATAAATATACCATAAATTTACTATACAGTATTGCATATTTAGAATATATATTCATGATATATGAAATAGCATATAAATATACTATGTTGTATATATGCACATATATGCAGTTTTCTATTTCTATATAAATTTTAAAATTACATATGAGTACTTAAGACCAGGTACGTAGGTAGACATAAGGTAGATAGGCTCTAAAAATAAGGGGCTAGAATTGAGAAGAATTGTATTTCTTTATGGATATTAATAATAAGTATCTTTTATCCATAAAGGGCATGAATTGTTATCCGAATTACAGCAGCGTCGATTTAATGGCTCAGATGGAGGAGTGTCATGGTCTCCTATGGATGATGAACTGCTTGCACAGCCACAGGTTATGAAATTATTAGATTCACTGAGAGAGCAATATACTCGTTACCAGGAAGTTTGTAGACAACGTAGTAAGCGTACACAACTAGAAGAGATTCAACAGAAGGTGATGCAGGTAGGTGTCTGATTTGAATATGTTTAACTCTTTATTTATCAATGTTGTGTTTTTAAAAAATAATTTCTACTCTGTGACTGATTTTATGCCAGGCCTTATTTATACTGTATGGAGAACCTTAGGCACCAAATCAAACTTAAGTTTTAAATTATGTACATTTTTACAAATAGTATTTGTATTAAGAATATATTTTTTTCTACAATATGACATTGAGCATTCAGCTCACGCTATCAGAATGAACTTCAAAAATAACTGGATGGAAACATTTGTGGTCTCTGCAGATCTGATTTCTTTTTAATAATTCATTTATTATATGTAATTGGACATAAATTCATTATATGTAACTTTTTCTATGTAATATATCTGTAAGTTAAAGATAGCTTGTATTAAATAATTTGTTAGTGTTTTGTTAATCTGAGCATTTAGTTTTCCTATCCAAGAGAAGAAATAAAATGTAATATAAGTAATTATATTATATTTTATTATTGTATGAAACTGAGAATTTTTTAAGTGTATTTAATATTTATAACTTTTTAGTTCCTTTAATATTTAAAAAATTAATGCTAAGGAAGACATTTCTGTTATTTAAACTACATTCTGAATTTTCATGTTGAATTATTGAGATAAATCTTAAAATATTTTACTTAAAAAATTCAGATTAGAAATGTTTTTTATTAGATTTATTAGGTAATTATTTATGAAGTGCTTATTATATAGGATATAAAGGTATACTTGCCTTTTGCTATCATTAAACTTAAGGGGAGAGAATGTTAAGTGTCACAAGGGCATGACTGAAGTGCTATGGGTATTTATAGGAGGGATTATTCCTCTGGTTGCAGGTAATCTAGGAAAATTTAGTGGAGTAGGTGAAATTTGAACTTGTCCTCCAAGAATGTGTGGGACATCTTTTAAACCAGTCATCTTTTGGTTTAAAAGAATTTGGCATTTTGTGAAGGATAAAGAACAGCATGAATAAATAATAGCAGCATGAAAGTCCAAGCTCCATTGAATAAAAAGGAAGCAGGAAAGCACTGTGGGAAGTTTCTTGGCTTTTGAGTCATAGAGCAAAATAGTTCAGAGAGCATGTTCTGAATCCCAATTCTTCCATTTATTTGGTGTGTGATCATGGCTACATTATTTAGCCACCTGAAACTTCATCTAACTTTCTTTTTTTCTTTTTTCCCTTTCTCTCTTTTTCTCCCATAGTTTTTTCATTACTGAAGCAGGAATAATAAGTCCACTTTTGAAAAGCTGCCAGTACTTGATTAGTGGCAGCTTTTATATTTGTTTCCATTGAATTAGACTCTGGTCTAGAAGTATACTTTAGTTCTTGACATACTTTTTCTATAAAAGGCCAAGTAGTGAATGTTTAGGCTTTGTGGGTCAATTTTTCTTGCAGTTATGGCTATTTAAACTGCCCTTATAATCCATACACATTATGTAAACGAATGTGTATGTCTGTGTTCCAGTAAAGTTTTATTTACAAAAACAGTGGTAGGCCACAATTGGCCTGTAGTTGTTGACCTCTGACCAGATAGATTATCAGGATGTCATGGGTACAAAAGCTTGAAATGAAGGAAGGAGCTGGATCATGGAAGATCTTGAATTCCAGGCAAAAGGATTTAGGTTTTATCTCAAGATAACCAAACCAAAGATTGCTGGACATAAATTCATTATATTTAACTTTGTCTATAATATATTTTTAAGGTAAAGATAGCTTGTATTAAATCCAGTTAAGGTTAGCCATGTAGCTTGAGAGTACCATAGTCCCCTATGTCTGCGAGGTACATATCAAGACCCCCAGTGGATGCCTGAAATCACGAAGAATACCTAAGTCTGTATATACTATGTTTTTTCTCTATATGTACATACATTTTCACTTAAAGCAAACACTTTATGGCTTTTTTTTTTTTGCCTATCCAAATAGCCAGCGTCACTACTCTTGCACTTTGTGGCCACTGTTAAGTAAAATAAGGCTTATTTGGACACAGCACTGTGATACTGTGATAGTCAGCCTGATAACTGAGAAGAAGGCTAAGTGATTAGTGAGTTGATAGCATATCTAGTATGGATATGTTGGATAGAGGAATGATTCACTTCCTGGCTGGGACAGTGCACGATTTTATCACACTACTCAAAACAGCATGCATTTTAAACTTATGAATTGTTTTGTTTCTGAAATTTTTTTCATTTAAATGATGGGACTACAGTAAAGGGGTATCTTGGAAAACTGTAATGATGGAATAACAGTGTTTAACAAGTCACCCAGGTGATCTGGGTTCACCCTCTTCTACCACTTTCAAGTTGGGAATGAACTGGAACCACTCAATGCTGTAGCTTCCTTCTTAGTAAACTGAGCATAAAAATAACAGTAATAATATGACCCACTTAATACGGTGTCACAGGATTAAAGAAGATACTTGTAATAATAAAATATGTAGTGTTTGGCACAAAATGAGTTTTCTATTAATATCAATTATTTCTCACTCATTCAAATATGAATGTGTATATTAGTGTGACACTGTGGTGGTGGCATATAGTGGTGAGTAAAACAGACAAAGTTTCCACCTTTATGGAGCATAATCCTATATAATAAAATCATAATATGTAAATTGACCACCCGGTTGTTATGACACGCACTGACCACCAGGAGGCAGACACTCAATGCAGGAGCTGCCACCTGGTGGTTGGTGTGTTCCCACAGGGGGGAGCACCGCTCAGCCAGAAGCTGGGCTCACTGCTGGTGAACGCAGTGGCAGTGGCGGGAGCCTCTTCCACCTCTGCTGCAGGTGGGCGGTACGTAGTAAGGAGCCAGGGTTCCAGGACTGTGAGAGCACCAGACTGAGAGAGGGATCAGGCCTAAGCTGGCAGGCGGACATTCCCTGAGGGGTCCTGGAATGATAGGACACAGGCCTGGCTGAAGAACCCCCTCCACCTCAGTGCACGAATCTCGTGCACGAGGCCTCTAGTTAGATAATAACACAAATAGTTGTAAAATTGTAACCATGAAGGAGAGTGGTGGGAGTAAGGGTAAGAAAGAACATTCAGAGATGAATCATTTTTATGGCTTGTAAGACTTAGTGGATGGTAGTGGTGTCTAATTATGTTTGTATTTAAGTGTGGGTGGAAAAGGCCGTAGAGAATCATGACATTGGGTTTAGATATGTCGAATTTGAGGTGACTTTGAGAAATCTAAGAAAAATGTAGAAGGGTATTCCTAAACAGGTCCAGAAATCAGAGAAGTCTGGGCTGGTGACATATTTGTTTATTTTTCATAAATGAATGATAATCAAAGGCATTGGTATGGATGAGAATTGCCCAAGTAAAGAGCTGAGAGAATGTGAGATGTGGGCTTGTTAACTAAGCTAAGAAAAACTCCAGCATGCAGTGAGAAGGCAATGAATGGTGGCCAGAGATGACGAAGAGAAGTGTGAAGAAAGCATAGTCATCTACGTAGGAAAAGATTTGCGAACCCTGTCAAATGCTGCTGAAAGACTGAAAAAGAGTAAGACTTAACATGTTGGTTAGAATGTACAAGATTGAGATAATTGGTGGACCCAGGGCATGAGTGGCACGACCAGAAGCACATTGACATTAATTCAGGAATGAGCAAGGTGTGATGAAGGACACTGAGTACAGATGACTGAGAATTTTGTCTTTTTTTTTTAACTCCTTCCCCAACAATTTTTTTTGTTAAAAACGTTTCTTTTTCAGAGTAATTTTTTTATTTTGGTTCTATATAGTATTTTTGATGCTGGTTATGAAAACAGTTTGTAACTCGTCTTCCTATAAACCATATTTTTCTTACCATATTTTCTTAGTATACTCGTCGACGACTGAAAAAATATTTTGTGAAAACGAGTATACACGTTTCTGCCGGGGAAGGGGTTAAATATATTTTATTGATTTTTCACAGAGAGGAAGGGAGAGAGATAGAGAGTTAGAAACATCGATGAGAGAGAAACATCGATCAGCTGCCTCCTGCACATCTCCCACTGGGGATGTGCCCGCAACCCAGGTATATGCCCTTGACCGGAATCGAACCTGGGACCTTTCAGTCTGCAGGCCGATGCTCTATCCACTGAGCCAAACCGGTTTCGGCGAGAATTTTGTCTTTGAAGGAAAGATGAGCAATAGACCAGTCCCTGAAAATGGTAGAATAAGGTTATATTAGTTTACGAGGGCTGCTGCAATGAAGTGCTGCATACTGGGTGCTTACACACTATCTGAAAATAGAACCACACTTATGGAGTAATTTTACTCTTCCAATCCACACAACAGATATATTTTCTCACAGTTCTGGAGGCTAAAAGTCCAAGATCCAGGTGTTAGCAAGGTTGATTCCTTCTGAAGACAGTGAGGGAAGGGTCCGTTCTAGGTCTCTCATTGTCTTGTCGATGATGACCATCTTCTCCCTGTATCTTCATATCATTTTCCTCTTTATCTGTGTCCACATTTCCTCTCCTTTTAAGGATACCTGTCATTAGATTTAGGACCCATCCCAATAACCTCATTTTAATTTAATTGTTTCTTTAAAGGCCCTGCCTTTAAATAAATATGGTTACATTCTGAAGTACTGAGGGTTAGAACATACAGATTTGGGGGGGGGGGGCACAATTCAACTTCATAGGGGTCAAGTGTACTGTTTTGTTTTTTTAAATTGATAGTATAGACAACTGTAAGAGGTTTAAAGCCTAGTAGGATTTATCAATTTGGAGAGAGGAATTGAATATACAAAAGAGAAAAAATAGGTAATACTATCAAGTTCCTGACAAGGTGGAAGTGAATGAACTCGAAAACAGTTGAAGAGATTAGCTTTAGAATGAAGAGGGAGAACTCCCCCATTGTAACAGGAGGAAGGACAAGTGGGATGAATCTGGAGATGCTTTCATGTATAAGAGACATCAGGAAAATGGAGTTCCTGTGTGATGTGTTCTCTTTTTTTGTAAAGTAAGAGACAAAGATCATCTGCTTAGTGGTGTAGGTTGGAGGCAGGGTAG